CGCCTATGGCTTTGAATGGAAAGAATGGAGCTAAAACATCGTACGTCCCACTCAGTGTTAGCCGGTGGCGCCGCCCCCCGGCAGGCGCAAGAACTACCGCACCAGCGGGACGGCCAATTCACACGTGTCAAACCAAACATATCAAGTGTTGAGGAAATCGCCACGCCAGGATGTTATGGCCTTACGTCTATGTGCGGAAGAGGTGTGGCAGCAGCGGAGTCGTCTGGCGAACGCCGAAAGGTTATTTTTGGCGAGGCTTATGCGCGATTGACTGTGAGCCATATTTTCCGGGCACGCCTCCATAACGGTCATCGCTAAGATATCCGAAAGTAGCAAAATACCCGACAGTGATACCTTTAAAGGAGCTTTAGATTAAACAGGCATTCAGGAAAGTTCTGAGGTTACGGCGCAGCGTTTTAATGAGCCTACATGCGAGCCTTGATATTTCAATGAACATGCGAATGAAGTTGACTAGGACCGATTCACCACACCAGGGGCAAGGGTAGGATTCACAACTGTACCTAAGGAGGCAGCCCCTCCACCCCGCAGTGCACACTATTGGTGTGTTTCTATGCCACTGTGAGATTTAATTGCTACTGAAGTGAGTAATTTGTTTAACGAGACGAATCCCTACCAAAAATATCCCTATAAACCAAAGGTATAATTTGAGAGAACAAAAAGCAGTGTCATCGATAGCTTTATTGGCCTAAAATAGCTAGTGACACGTTATGTGCACATTCGAGGAATACCAAAATTAAATGATGATGTTGGCATTTGATGGTATTTTTGCAGTATTGGAGAATTTTGTATTGATGTTTGATTTTATGGGCTTTAGGATAGAAATTCTCTCACATATTCCGAGATGCCTGCATAAGCTGTTGGCTCCCTGACTTACAGTGTACCGGACACATAGTTATGTCATGAGCATGACCATTTAACCAGTAATGTGCCTTTGCTGAGGACGTGGTGGGCGAGTGCCACAGACAGCTGCTTCTCATGCTCCTCTCGAGTTTCTCTTTTCGGAAAGTCAGGCTGATTAAGCATATAAAAACTTGTTTGAGGGAGGGGCTGTTTAGATACAGAATATCCAGCGCAATGGTATGATTTATAAATCGCCTTTCGTTTTCCAAAAAGTTTTCTCTGGACAGCAAAACCATTTCGTAAAGTTTTGGATCCAACTTGTGGGCCTAGTGGGATTGGAGTGTCACCTGGTAGTATTTCCAGATGGACTATACTAGACTAGAAGGACTGCTAAATCAGAACAAAGATGCAGTGACAACACAACAACATGGCAGTCCCCCACACATACGGCCCTGCCCAAGCCAACACCCCTTTAGTTATTACAGCGCTCAATGAAAACTCTTTGGAATGGCACCTAATGGTTTATGAGACAAGCATGCAGTTTCAGAGATAAGCATGCAGCCAAAATATCAGCCCATCTATATCTTCATTCTTCTGGTCTTTTTTCTCGGGGAATAAGGTTACTCCTATTGTCTTATCTATGTGAAGAATGTTCTTTGCAAATTCACTACAAATTACAAATGCGAATGAACAACTTACTTCTACATCACTCTAACATGATTTTCGCTCGGATTAATCCCTTTAAGAACGTGGACATGAATACTTGATGCTTGTTTCCGTGCATATTCTAGTTCTTCGTCGAATGTCAGACAGAAAGATAGCCCTATCTTTTGCGACTAACAACGCTGCGATGATATCGCCTTATCGATTGATATACAGAAATCAGTCGTGCAAGATTGCGTGACATCATATACGGATGGAAGTATTAATGCGCTGCGTGAATAAGAAACAGTGCATGGAGGCAAGTGGTGTGCACAGTATTTCACTGTTTGACATCATCAGCTGAAATGCCACCTAATGCAGCAGGGGTGAGAAAAGCTTCTGATTTACCGGGTATGCTCGGTAACAAAAACTGGCACATTCGCGAACCAATTGATGACAAATTTCCGAAACTGAAAACAAGTTTCAACAGGCAAGACCACATTACAACAAATTAGCCCACCTCGATAAAACTCAAAGCCTAGCATTCGTCTGACGTTTTGCTGTGTAAGCAAGTTGAGGCATAAGATGTAGCCAAACATAGCAGCTTTAATCAGGATAGTTCTTAGCAGGTGACAGAAACATACTACAAACTATATGATGTGCTAGTGCTGATACCACAGATCAGTGGTGGCACGGTGTTCTTCCACTGTCCCTCAGATCAGTGCTTTCCACAGATTTTTGCAGCCAAGATTTACTTCACATGCTAAACAGTATAAAATACTAAATAACTAGGCTTATTGCTAGTCGTAAGAATCGCGGCTGGCGACAGCACCTCGCGACGAACGTGATTGGTTTGCTACGCTGCGTTTTTAAGCGTCGTGCCATTTGAGACAGATGGGCTTGATTGCTCGCCACTTGGAAATGCGTTGGGTTCAATGCAAGGCTGTGGGCTGTTGTTGGTTGTGTTCATGTTGTTGGAAGCTGATTGGCCAGGCAAACATAGCCAACCGTCAGTTTTTTAATGGAATAGCGTTCAAAAGCCCTACGGATCTAGAAGAATTGTTTCTTGTGGATATCTGAGCCGTAGCCTCAGAGGTAAACGGATGTCGTTGGAGCGACACATGTAAAGCATTCATCGAGGGCTTCCTGCTAGTGAGAGGAACAGCGGCTTTAAGGTAAGGGGTCGAGCATCGCTGGTGTAGGCCTCTCACATTTCCCGCTGCACCTCGGAATTAGCGCACTGCTCGATGGACAAGCGTGAGATAAAACACTTTAAGTCGTCATCATATTGCAATAACGCTAAATGAAGGTGCTAGAGGTATTCAAAAATTCGTTTTCATCTGTTGATACCATTATTGCACGGGTTTTGCTCTGAATAATTGGGATCATGCTAGGAAGTGTAAGTTCTGCACGGGCAATGATTGTGCGAGGATAAAGTCGCCAACGCTTCCAGCTGATTTTACGATGGTGTCACGAAAACAAAAGCGATACTGTTTCAGGTGCTTCCAGAACCACATTATCGGTAAATGTAGCGCTATGGGGATGCAGTTATGCAAAATACGTCGCGGTGAGGGATGGAAGGGGGAGAGGGAGAGGTTCAGGAAAAAAAAAATGCCTGAGCCTGCCTCCGAAATGCACTTAAAGCAGTTTTCTTCCCAGATTTGGCACACTTTTTCGCAATCGGAACAGGGTTGTAGTCTCTCAAAATTAGTTCTTGGGCAGATGAACTCTCCAACTTATGAAAAATTCAAAATAATGGATAAAATTATAGCTAAAAATGTTGTACTGCATCCCTGGGTAGCAGGCACAATCCCACTTTATCCCCCCCCCCACACCTCCAAACTATAGGACACTACAATAGGAACTATAGTGAATAGGAAACTATACGCATTTAGGCTGGTTATGTTAAGTATGCCCTTATCAGATATTTCTATAAGGTAAATCTCAACCAACATTCAGTGTTTGATGGTCGGGAAATAGAACTAAATTGCAAATAAACTCCCGAAACGAAAATATTTGGTGGTTATGCCGCATTGCATTTGGGTCGTCTTTTTGTGGTTTATCATATTTAGATATATTGCGACGTTTTCTGAAAGATTTGACTCCGGGTGGCGATTCAGACGGTTTCAAAATTCATCGGAGACCGAAAAGGCACTTTTTCACCACCCGTAATGCAGCACCCCGGCTTGTTCCAGAACCACCACTATAGTGGTGCAGCGAATGTAGTGCACGAATTGTACAGTGAACGACTGGGCAAGGTAAACTGACAAAGGCACAAGCTTACGGTGGGCTCACCATGCCGAAAAACCAGGAGTTTAAAGGCATTCCTTGCTAATGTGACGTTTGTCAGTTAGGGCCGAGCTGTATTCAATCGGGACGTTCATTTTAAACGTTCTTGTTCTCGAGTTTAAACGCGACTTCTACGGCCTATGGATGCTACTATGAACATGTTTGGTGCACTTCGCTTCCAACAAGGCAGCAGACCCAACGACTTGCAATTCAACTGCGGGCAACTTTCCGACGTGAAAGAGCCGCCGACCTCGCCCGAACGTAGGGTTGTTCAAGAGGTGATGCTGGGGATATCGCTGATCTCCACACAGCATTCAACTTTCACCTCAATTTGTTTAATTCAAATGAAACATGGGTGTTACTTTGCCTTAAAATGCTGCTGCATGCCAGCATTTTCGTCGCAATATTGTATGACAGGCTCTAACACTAGCCCATTGCAAATGTGGATTAAGTGTAGCAGCATGTGACGCTAGATGTCGTTCTTTTGCGAGCTACAAAGTGTTTTCACGATCACCGAAAGCCATTCTTGGCACGACCTGTTTGTATCTACTCCAGTGACCGCTTTGCAAGGTAAACGTTACTCTGTCACAAGGCACATCATTCACGCACTCGTAATAAACTCGTTCATTTCGCGCCGCAAAACACACCAACGTAGTTATAGGATGAAATAATGCGCACGCATCACATAACAAATATGGACGGAAGACTTTCATGTCACCTGATATTATAAATCAATTGTTGAATTTCCGTGACATTTTCCAAGCTTTTGTATCAACTAGAAGCACGAAGACCACATTCCCCATAATCGACAACCCAATGACTCACTCGAACAAACATCAAGGAATGGTCGGAAAACTAAAAGCGAGCAATGGACAAAATCTAAGATCTTGTTTGCAGATCCAAGATCCAAAATCCCAAAGATCCGCATAGCATACATAAGGCATTGCATAACAAATTCACGTGACCTAAACACTGACCGCCATCCAAATACTGCCACGTGACAAGTGAGGGCTCGTTTTTCTTTTCTTACATAGCTCCACACCACCAAACGGCTGGCAATGATAGCATAACCATCAGCCTAGCATCAACACGGCCCCAGACAGAGCGCGGTCCAGCGGCGTATCAGTGCGGGCTGCCCACCTCGCCCCTGCCCGGCGCCTGCGGCGGCCCCCAGCCCGGTAAGCGAGGTCACCGGCGGCGGTACTGACCTGAGCGAGCCGGAGAGCCTCATGGTGGCCGGCGGCGGCGCCCGGTCAGCCGGCCGGTACACACGTGCGTGTCGAGCAGGCGCTGGCCAGCGACTGAGGCGGCGCGGGTAGCCCGGTCGGCCGCAGCTGCCGGCGCCGGATGTGCCCTCCGCAGCCGGCGCCGGCTGGCATACACCCGCACACACACACATACAGACACACGCACGCACACACACGCATACATACACGCACACGCCTGCTTACACGCATCCGTACACGAACCGACGCAAAAGCACACGTGCGTACACACCCGTACGCATAACGGCAATGCACGCGCGCATATGCCCGCTTGTTGGTGTCGCTCGTACTTACCGTCTAGCCGTTTCGTTTCAAAGTTTTTTCCGAAGGAAGTACAAATAGATTCGTACAGAAATCACGTCAAACGAAAGCATGGACCGGGCCAGGTGGCAGCAACTTATTTTAAAAATGTCAGCTTTACCTTCTCATGAGAGCATGTGATCAACTAAAAAAATATTTTAAAAGCCTCAGCAAGATAGGCCATTGAGCATTTCAAAAGATGTATTTCACAATTTTGAATCTTACATGTCATGTTACGATTGGTAATATTTACATAGAACGGCTAACACTCACTAAGAAGCAAGTGGATTGGTAATTATGGACTCATTTGGCCGTTATGGAAAACGCAACTTCGGTGGCGAGATTGACTTTTTGTTGCATACAAATTCTTGCCTGAATACTTGTCAGAAATTTGTTCACTTTTGTGTAAAAACTTGGAACCTATTGGGGGGGGGAGGTGACCAGTACTCTCGTTCGGCCCCCATGAATTGGTCGCTGAGGCATGGCAGGGTCGAGTCTCTACTGTACGCTCAGCTGACCGTCACGTACACGGCAGTCGCAGACATGTCGGACCAGACGCTTGGAGGAAGCACGCGTTCTTCGTGTCACGTCAAGTACTGTGTCGAGTGTTCAGGTACTCAGTGCTCAGGTGCTTCAGGTGTTCAGGTGTTGAGTGTTCCCGAGGCATAAGGCGCTTAGCCTAGGCAAGGCAAGTTTTTGGTAGACGTAAACGTGGCAAGTTTACTTCTTGCTACGCTTAGCCTAGGCAAGAAGCAAACTCACAAAGCTGACTTGCTTTGTGAGTTTGTTCCTTGCCTTGTCTTGCTCCTTGCTCCTCCATCTGTCCCTTCATGCCGCAGATCGTACACGTTTGGCGTAATGTTTGCTCTTCTATTCAAAACTGTCGCAGTGCGACGTCGCATGAAAATCGTCCTGCCATACTTTATGTGATATATGAAGAGCGCATGTAAACATCTTACATGACCAGCAGAGCCCCACCTGCGGACACGCTGGTAACTGGTGTGGGTAGGTCACAGGTCTGACATGCAAATGTCTGCAGGCCAAGCAACCCCAGCTCCAGGCTATAGGTCAGCGCAGGTAACAGCCTCCTGAAGGTGGCGCTTCAGGCTCATGGCGCGGTGCGTCACGATTGTCTAGCCCTGGGATGCCATCTTTGCTTAAAACGCTTCTTTAGTGCGCAGCGTGCACGCTTTCCAAGTTGACTGTATCAAGCTCCCACAGAAGTAGAAACGTTTGGCGACAGTCGCCCGATTTGGACCGCAGCTAGGGTTTGGACTAAAGCTTACATTCAACCTCACGCCCTGAGGGCCACTGCGGGTCGTCGTATGTGCGGTTAGTTTGACGTAAATCCACTCAGAGTTTCGTAACCTGTGAGAAACATCCAGCTGTTCTGTCTAAACACGAACGCGCTGTTATTATACGTACGCAAGACAGCCATCAAACCAGGTGCGCCATGATCTACACAGTGCGTTTTCCGTGTATCCACAAACCGGCGTAGGACGATCGACATAAGCAGAGATCGGATAACGGGATTCTCTTAAGAGGAAAGCATCGCAGCGCGATGCATTACACGGGGCAGTTTCCAAGTCATGCAGGACTATGTGCGGGAGTGCCACAGGTGAACTGGGACCAAGAGGGGCAGATAAGGTTGATGTTGAACGATTGTCAAAGTGTTTTATCATCTTGTTGTCTAGAAACGGAACCAAAAAACAAAACACTAGAACACGTGCGACCTGATGAATCCCCCGGGTGCAAGGCTGATGATCACAAAGGAAATCTGTGTGTGTGTGTGTGTGTGTGTGTGTGTGTGTGTGTGTGGTGTGTGTGTGTGTGTGTGTGTGTGTGTGTGTGTGTGTGGTGTGTGTGTGTGTGTGTGTGTGTGTGTGTGTGGTGTGTGTGCGCGTGTGCGCGCGCGCGCGCGCCTGTGTGTGTGTGTGTGTATGTGTGTGTGTGTGTGTGTGCATGTTCGTGTGTGCTTTGTGCTTGTTCGTTAAAAACTGAATCAAACCCAGCATCCATGATCTTTTTTATGTTTTTGATTGCCCTGAACTAATGATCAGATGACCTGATAGCATACTCAACTCTCTGTCAAGGCTCGTTTAAAATGACACCAAAGCTCATAATAAAAGGTAACCAGAGATTGTCCTGGTACCGGGTATATCGCTAAAAGCATTACTCCGTATCGGACATTTTCTCGAGCAATAGTTTTGGACAGAACCGATATGAATACGCGTTGGCAAGATCCAAGCTTTCACGCGACACTTTTAAACTGATTTCCCACCTAGAGGCATAATTTTGTGAAGTACGGGCATAACACACGAATACCGAACAAGTACGTAACATAACGCGGACCATTCT